AACTGAGCAGTGTTTGCAAAGAACATAAAATTGCCAAACTGTTACAGTAGGGGTGATTGGTAAATTATGAATATGCTGAGGTGGAATCATCTATTCACAACTATATACACACGCCTAGCAATTTCAGAATCAACAGGGAAGTGACTATTTGCATTGTTTACTAGAAAATATTGGTAGAAAAACCTAAGCTCCATTAAATGTGAATTCAGATTAGAAATCAACACAAAATGTTGAAGTAAGAATATATATTTAAGCTTGAACAAGAGTTTTGAAAAGCTTCACTGATGCTAGCTTGTGTTCCAGCCTCGTTTTTTTTAAATCTACATTGCAGATTGAGAACTGCATTTCTTATGAGAAATTTTAATGCAGACATAAACTATTGCCTTGAATTTTGACAGACTTGCATTCTTGAAATCTGGAGTATTTTATTTTGCCAAGAATTGGCCTATAAGTATTCTAGTGCAGATGGTCTTGTGGGTATTTAAAGGGACTGTGTTCTTTTACCTAGTGAAGTATGCATAGGTCATTGACTAAAGTCTCATGTTCTGTCATGTGACTTTAGTCAATGACTACAGTGAAGTATTATCATGTCAAAAATATTGTCAGAAATGATGCGATGAGGTAGCATCAGGTTTTTTAAGTGGTGGGTGGGTGCACAGTTAGTCTTAGCTGTAGCCATTTATTCTGGTCTCACTGTTCCTTTTTCTAAATAAAACACACAGGCAGATTTGTGTCTATGTATGTATTTCTTTACATGCCCATCCCTGTCATATCTTGAAACTTATAACAGAGAACTTCTAAGGATGCTCTAAAAAATGAGCCTCATTTTCGCCAAATGATCAATCGAATAGCAGTGCTTTGGGAATGAAATAAGAAAACATTCTTTGTTGGATTAGTGCTACATTGTGCTTCATAATGTCTCCTTGAACTAAACAATGATTATTTCTAGTTCTTTGCACTTCACACACTGTTGCAGAAATGATAAAATATTCTTCCCAGATAGAATTTGCATTCAATGCTGCCTTATCTCTCAGCAGCAGAAGCCCGATTAACTGGCTGATTAGTGTGCAGTTTGTGTCATCACTAGTAAAATTTTATGATGACTCTGAAGTGAAATTTTGATGGCACAATTCATGACTGTGAATATTTTGTGAATTCCAAGTGAAATGAGCAAAACAAAACAAAACAATAGGAGATTAGATTCACTGAGCTTCTATAATAAACAGATATCAATAAATGCCTGTAAAATTTACAGTTTGGATCCAGAGGAATGGAAAGTGATCTCATTAAGACCCACAAATGGGCTTAAATGCACATACCTTTCATCCATCAGCATTATGCTCATTTGTTCTTACTGCTGTGGTCATTAGTGAAAAACATTCATCTTTGTCACTTCTTAACAGCCTCTGGACTTTGAGACCAAAAAATCGTATACGCTGAAGGTAGAGGCAGCCAATATCCACACTGACCCACGATTCAGTAGCAGGGGACCCTTTAAAGATACAGCGACAGTGAAAATTGTTGTTGAAGATGCCGACGAGCCTCCTGTCTTCTCCTCACCGACTTACCTTCTCGAAGTTCACGAAAATGCTGCTCTGAACTCCGTCATTGGACAAGTGACTGCTCGGGATCCTGATATCACTGCTAGTCCTATAAGGTATTTTTCCTTTTTAAATGAAATACTAGCTACTCCAAATGTGTTCACAATATGAACAAATTTTTGCCAGTACATACTGTGTGTGTGTGTGTGTGTGCGCGCACGCACTTCTGTGTGTGTGTTTGCACACGCATATGCATGCCTACTAAGAGCTATACATAATGCCTGCAGCCAGAAAGATCAAGATAAATCAAGTTATTTCAGCCCTTGGAGAGCTCAGTGACTGCATAATTGCAAGTGTTTTGCAGCACATTTGTGAGGAACTTTTATGTTTTTTGCTTTGTTATTTCTTAGTATTGGGAAAGCATTGCTAGTTTGTCTTCTGTATGCTTTGACAGCTAGAGTGAATTATATATTAGAATTTAGAGGCATGAGACAAGAGTGCCAATGCATTAAGAAGTTCCTATCTTATTTTTGTGTTTGGTGTTTGGCTTTGAAATTATCTTCTTTTCGGTTCATGGGTATTTTTGATAGGTCAGCAGATCCGGCTTGGAGCATCTCAGTCAAAAATCTTTTTCTGTCCTTTAAAAAATCGCTTTTTGTTTATACTTTCTCTGCTCTCAATTTTTTTTCCCAAGATGAGAAATAATCCTTTATTAAAGTTTTTCTGCCTTGTCTAGAAATGAGTTTCAATTCTACTTTTATTTTCCCCTGTTGATCTGTATACATCTTTTCTTTTTGCCAGTCACCCAAGTGACAGTACAGGTGCTCAAGCTAAATAGATTTCTTCCAAAGGCATGCTGAAAATCTATAACATGTATGCTGGTCTCCAAGGGTGAAGTGTTGGCTAATGATGTGTTTCAGTGTGGATTTCAAACATTGTCTTAAAAAATTTGTTGGAGTGAGGAGGACAGGAGAAAAGAAGGGAGAGAAAAGGAAGGGTGGGTAAGAAAGAGGAGGAAGAGAGAGAGAGAGAGAGAGAGAGAGAGAGAGAGAGAGAGAGAGAGAGAGAGAGAGAATAAAAAGTAGAAAGAAGACTAGAATTATAAAGAACTGTCCAGTTATTCTATGCATTAGATATCAGTTCACACTGAACACGTTCAATTTCCGAGTCACAGATATCTAGGGCAGACAGCCTTCCAATTACTTCATTCAGGGAAACACTAGACAAGTGAGTTTTCTGGAGGTTCTATTTATTTTCTTTTTTAAAAATGTATTAAATTTTCTATTACTCACAAGGGTGCTAAAAAAGTGAGACTGAGAGCAAAACCCTGAAGAACAGGCAGTACCTGAAATAGCTTGAGTTTGGATGCAAAGGAACTATTTTCAAATCAGAAGATTTTTCTCTAACACATTTACTTCTAAATTTAGATGATACATAAGAGTGCATCGGATAAGCACACAATGAAAGCTTTCTGCAGCAATATAAACTGTAAGAAAGCAACACTCCACCTGAAAATTTGTGAAATAGTCCATTGGCTATTATTTTAAGTTCTTGAGCAACCCCTTCTTAAGCCCAGACATGTAGAATAGCTCTCATTTTTAGCTAATTATGTCTCAGTTTTGGTAACGGTATCTGTCAAAAAGTAAAGCATTAGATGTATCTTCTGGAAAAAGTCAACCAAGAAGTTTACTGAGATTCCGGTTTTTTTTTGGACTATAAAGCACTGTGGTTTTGTGCTGGAATTATTATTCAGGGAAGATTGTGGTGGAATTATTATATAAATAGGGGCAATGATTTTCATGGAATAAATCAATATTGCTATTATCATAGTTCTCCGTGTTTGAAAGAAATGCAGAAAGAAAAATTGTCACTTTCTTTACATCTTTAAGTCTGATGCAATGTGAGCAGGTTAAACAAGATGGATTTAAGGAAGAAGCAAGTCGCCAGGCTAGTTCTAGCCTTTGATTTGACAAAGTTTCTACTCTTGACAGCAAGTAGTACAGAACGGCTCAGGAGTGTGAAAGCCAAGAGCCCCAAGAAGTGGCAGGGTTTCCAATACTGGGCCAATCACAAAAGAGCCCAAACTTGGCGTCCACAGCACCAGTGGGATGGACTCGCTGTGAGGAGACACCTACTTCAGTAGCTACAGCTTCTATCTGAGTCCCTGTTCATTCCACAGAGAAAGCAACATTGAACTACAGAATTGGGTTTAAAGGCACCCTCAAAAATTCCCTATATAATTTCACTTTATACAATCTATTCTTTATACTCATGTACAGTGTTGATTTACAGTGATAATACCAGTTCACAGGGAATCAAGCAGCAATTGCCATTAGCTTTGATTATTCCTACTGTTTCTCTTACCGTCACGGTGTGGACACTTATGGATAGAGGGCTCTAGAAGTTTCTCAGGGAAATTTCTCTACTTTGAAAAAAATTTTCATTTGTACACAAACAAAAGGAGACTTAAGGCCCTGCTATCAGGAAGAGATGGACAGATAAAGCACTATTCGATGACACAGACATCCGTGCTTCTGATAGCTGTCAGGTAAGTGGTAGTTCCTAGGCATCTCTGATCCCTTCCAAAGAAGGCATGGATGCTATTTCAAAGCGTTTACCACGGGCTTTGATGTGTCCATCTGAATGTGGGCCTCACAGAGGCCTGAGAGGAGGTTAATGGGCTCCATGAAATGAGAATATAAGAGTCACCAGCTGTGATTTTCTGCATCTGTTCTGCATTTCCACAGCCCCTGCCCCTGCCAGCTGGGTTATGGAGAGCAGCTTTCCTCCGTCTATGCACAACTGGTTAATCTGAGCAGAAAATTAAATTTTCTGACTAGCCAGAGTATTGCATAGTTCCGTCAGAGGCAAGTAGACAGAGTTTGAGCCATTTATCCTTTTTAAATATAACAAACTCAGATACTCAGAGAATTACAGAGCAATGGATAGCTAGGCATTATTTTCTCTTTATGGCTATTGCATTTCATATACTAGCAACAATGTATCCATCTTTTATGATGATACATATGTGCTTTGCTGGCCAGCAAGAAATAGCTGTTTGTCATGGCTTCTGCTGTGTTAGGACATGCAGTTGTTGATGGGACAACTTCTTTTCAGAGCACGTGGATTAGCTCCAGGTTCATGTATTGTAGATTCTTTTTTTTTTTTTTTTTTTTTTTTTTTTTCAGAACCGGGGATTGAACTCAGGCCCTTGTGCTTGCCAGGCAAGTGCTTATTCTACTAAGCCATCTCCCCGGCCTAGATTCTTATAATGAGGCTTAAATGTTTATCAGTGTCTATACATCCATATACTCCCTTTCAGGGGGAAAAGGTAGTGACATATGAAGAGTGTAATCAATGTCTTTCCCTGTTCTCTCCCAGGAGCATTAAAAAGAAACCAGTAGAGACCAGTAGAGTCCTGGGTTTCAATGTCCCCTTCAAAAAACAGTGCCTATCATGTCACTGCACTCTGGAAGATTATGTCTCTCTCAGTGATATAATATTACATACATTATTGAAAATACGACATATTTTGAACTTAATCAGAAGGGGTCTCAAATCACATCGCTACTGCTTTTCCATCAGACTGTCTCTCTTCGGAATTCTCTAAGATTCAGTTTCCTCCTCAGAATGGAATATTACTGTCTTCTTCACAATGCTAATAAGGTGTGCAAAATTAATTTAATAAATAACATGTTGTTTTTATAAACATTGATCTCTCGTAAAAGACAAACCACCATTAATTTTGTATTTTACATGCAAATTAAAAATTTGCTTCTTATATTAGCAGTGATTCTTCTAAATATGGCTGCCCATAGATTTATTTTTTGTCATATGATATCCTGAAGAATATAACTTACCACACCCTTTTTTTCTCTTTGCCCCTGCTCATATTTTAAATATTGTTCCTAACTATAAATATGTTAGGGACTGTGTTCACAAAGTAATTTCATTTTCAAACACTTCTAGAAAATGTAGAATTATTCCTATTGAAGAGCTGAGGAAAACTGAGGATGAAGATTCAACTTGATTTACTGGCCAGTTTTCCAATAGCGTGAGAAAACACTCAGAATAATAAGCTTAAAAGAAGAAAGTTTTACTTTGACTCACGGTGGTGGAGTCCGTGGCTATTTGCTTATGTTCCCTTGGGCCTGTGGTAGCACAGAGTGTCCTGGAGATGGTGTAGCCAAAGAGGTTTCTTCTTTCATGGAGACCTAGAAGCAGAGAAGTGGAGACCAGTAGAGTCTTGGGTCTCAATATCCCCTTCAAAGGCACATTGTCGATGATGCCACTTCTTTCACTGGACTGCACTTTCTTGAGCTCCTCCTGCCTTCCGGTAGTTTTGTAAGCTAAAATCTGAGGCTTGAACATAAGGATATTTGGAGCACAGTCCAGATGAAGATGGCACTACTGCACCTTGCTTATGATGTGGTGCTGGTTCTTTTCCAGTATGACACAGACCCTTACAACTCCATCTATACAATTCAATGAGGTTTAGCAGGAACACTTATAATTGAAGGAAAAACATCTCACACTCTAAAGAGTCTCATCAAATTCAAGGTGCATAACAGGAAAGAAGTAAAATACATCAAGTCTGTGGAGGTAAATAGAGCATAGGTGCGCTTTCTTTGCTCATCCGTCTAGCTACTTTGTATCAGTTTGTGATTGTTGGCTGTAAACTACATGGCGATCTAGGATGTAAATGGAGAAAACAGGTTATTTTCATGTGATGAATCAGGAATTATGCAAAGATGCTATAATATATCACTCCCACAATACACTTGGATGTATTCAGCATGTTTTCAGTTTTATAGAGAAGGAAGTGGAAGCTCTAAAAGGATGGGTACCTAGGGCACGGTGACATTGCAGGTCGTGGTGGATGTTGGTTTCAAACTCAAGTAACTCCTTACTGTTGTCTTTTGTGTTTGTGCGAACTCCTCTAGGCTATGGAATCTTGAATAAGGAGTAGGATGATGACAGCTGATGTTTACTGAGCCTATATTTTGTGATAGACACACTAAAATGGTGTTATATGCAACAAATTATTTATAAGGTAAAAATTCCTAGCACAAAGTGAGTTGTAAAAATAAATCAGTGCTTTTATGTAGACTGAAAA